AGGGGTGGGGGGGAAGGTCAATTTTGGATTTTTCGGTGACCTTTCTTTTCATGTGTCATTTGTCACGTCATGTTGCGTCATCATGATACGATTGAGGTCATGGTTCGGGTCATCACGTAGGTTTGATTGAGGCCAAGGCAGCTGAAGTGCGGCAACCATCTTCTTCTGTTTGCACAGTGGTGGGTTCATGATTTTGATTGCTACAGCTTCCGCTGTTGACAAGTGACGTATCCGAACTTGCTTTGATTTGTTTTGGGGTACTTTGTAGATGACTTTGAAAGCGTCGTTGTCTGGCTGATGTCCGGTATCAGCGAGGTGGCCCATAATCGCACTGGTTATTGTTTTCTTGCAATTCGTTCTCAGCCAAGCCGGTTTATGTTCTCTGATCCTTTGGGAGAGCTGCCTTATCGTTCGTCCTACATAACTTGCCGAACATGTGCAAGTGAAAGAATAGGTAATCATAGATGAGGAGAGGATTGGCAGCTTATCCTTGAGGTTTGTGCAGAGCTGAGGCCGGCTTGTAAACATCAAGCGTAGAGTGGCGGCTGGAAATGTTCTTGCGGTAGCTTTCTCAAGACGTCTTCTTAGTATATCACCACTCGAGTCTCCTTTGAACGGGAGTTGCAAGAATAGTTCTTTCTTTTTGACCGTGCTTGGTTTAGGCATTGTTGGCTTTTCTGCGAGGTTCTTCTCGATAAACCGCTCCGGGTATCCATTATTGAGGAGTGAGGATTTGATGAATTTAAGTTCTTCCTCCACTAGATCCTTGGAGCAAATCATTCGAGTTCTGTAGGCCAAGCATTGGACTAGGTTTCGTTTAAATTTGATTGGGACGAAACTTTGAAAATGAGTGTATTGGCCGTTCCATGTTGGCTTTCGAAAAATAGAACGGGATAACTTTCCATCGGGCCTCTTCTTCAGGTTGACGTCGAGGAAGTGAAACGTATCTTCATTTTCTGTTTCCATTGTAAAGTCGATTGAAGGATGAGCTCGGTTAAAACAATCCAATATTATGTTCGGTAAAATACTTTTGTCGGAAAGGATAAAAATATCGTCAACATAACGGCAGTATAGCGGGAGTTGATGTATGATGTCTCGTAGTTCGTTGTTTTCCAGTTTGGCTACGAAAACATCTGCAAGGAGCGGGCCAAGTGGGGAACCCATGGCTACACCATCCGTCTGTCTGTAGATTGTACCATTAAAAGAAAATTGGATATTATATGTACATCGTAGAAACAGTTCCTTCAAATTTGTAGTTGAAGTTAGATCCCGATCATATTTCAACAGTTCACAAGTGGATAGAATGCCTGCGATTTATGATTCCCCGGTTAGATTTCCAGTAAAAGCCATAGATTCGCATTGTCAAGGTTACCCAACAGGTTACAAATAGCTGTACAGTCAGTGGTCCACAGCCTCTCATTAGAGTATTATATATATTTGGTCTGTTTACCATAGGTTTCAGTGAAAAACTCTCCCAAGAACTGTTGCATTGAAAAAGAAAAGGTCTGTAAAATTCGAAGGTAGTTCTTTACAATGTCCTGAGGTTGATCACAAAGTGCTGATTGAACAAAAAGGTGATTGGGTGTGTGAATAAAAAAGTAGGTGTAATTCCAGCTGATGTCGACGAAAGACAGCGAATGGCACGGTAGAAAAGTTAATTTTGGATGACAATAACCGAGAGGAGACCTTCATCCGGACAGTGAATTATCAAGAGCTGAAATAAGAACAGTATTGGTTAGTCAAAGAAGAGCATGTACACGCAACGATATGCATACAAACAGAATGCGGGAATGATTCGAAATTAAGGAATAGCTAACAAGCTACAACAGAAACCGTGAAACCAATTCAGCACACAGTACTTTCATATTTCTGTTATCTATCCTCACAAACCGCCCAATACTTGGTTCGACCATGGTCGACCAGTTTCAGCAACCGCTAATGCTATGCGTCGGGTTTCGGGGTTCGAGGCCAACCCACGGATTTCGTTGACCATCCTGGACGATAAATAACTTCACTATCAGCTGAAGTCATCCCACACCTCGAATGATGACGTTTGATATTCTCTCTATGCAGGTACCACTCCACTCTCGGATTGTGTTGTCTGGCCGGGCCAATTCTCACCACGTATCTACACTCAATTCAGCACGTTCGGGTATTATTTGGCTCTGTAGGTTTCCACAATACCAACATCGTCGTTTTGTTTCGTGAATTCTCTCGCTCTTACTTCGTCCGAACGTTCGTCGGAATCTCAGTATTAGCCTGATGACCCCTTGCGTTTTCAATTTCATTTTCGAAAGAATTTTCCAAAGTTTTAATTCCCTCCCTAGGTTGAGTCATATCTTTCCGTTCGTGAGACTTGATAAGGTGAAATATTAACATGACATGACAAGCAAATATACGCATACATATGGCATTTTTAAAATTTCCTTTAAACGACAAAGAGGCCCATCCAAGTTACTGTGACAATAGGACTAGAGGGAGGAGAGACGATGAAGGTACTCACCATGACCATCCGATCAGTTGCCTACCTCGATGAATGTGGAAGCAGCACATAGAATTTATTTTTTTTAAGTGGGTGGCAACAGCATACTTTCTTATTAAAGGGTGTTTGTCCGCGCCATTTTTAAATCGCAAGGGAGTAGGAGTGGTTGCACTGTCTATAGCATTTAAATGCACATTGGACATCGCCACCGGCTTTGGTACTTCCGAACATATCAAGTAAGTTTAGGGATATACCTCGACCAAAAACTTGTAAGACGTTTGAACGGACGCGCTTCTTTGTCGTACAGGACGAGAAGTGAATTCATCGTCTGTATTCGAGCAACCGGATGAGTAACTCAAGATCGTCTCAACTGTCCAAGTTGGTTGGCCATCCCAGTAAGAATGATGAGATTTTCGCGTCAGCGGTTGAGGAGTTATGCGCACAGCACCTTGAAACTGTTCGTATACGCGGAAAAGCGTAGAGCAATTAGTCGATGCGGATAATCGGCTATGAGAACAGGTGAAGATTTTTTCGTCTAGCATGGGAAACGTTTGCTCCACGTTCAACCTTCGAGTAATTGAAAGATTTATTTCCCGAGATAAACTTGAAGAGAGAACACAACAAAGCTAGCACGATTTATGCCAAGGCAGATTTCGCTGCATCTCAACTGGTACAACATGGCAGAAAACAACAGTGGATGCGGCGAACAGAACAGATAGGCAGTTGCATACACGGATCCAGGAGTACATCCAATGTTGTTTCAGACGCCGATTGACCGAATCACATGATCAAAGGTCATTCTCGAATTTGACCTTCCCCCAAACCCACATGCAAGCATCACCCACCACTAACACAGTAAAATCGCACCGGTACCAACTCCAACCTTACCCAAGGAAACTGCACATACATACAGCCTGCATCATCTATTGCTCGGCATTTGCTGATAACGAATCATGATCCGGATCCGAAAAGCCGATTTAAGATTATTTATACTAACACCAACCCTGGCTGCCTAGGTTTGCGGAGACGATTGCACAATCACCTACGTTCGACCCTGTCACTTGCCATGACTTACCACGATCCCCCAAAGATGTATAAACTACATGCAAAAATAGAGAACTATTCAGTGATAATGGCGAATAAGATAGGCTACCGTCCCCGCACTCTCCTCGCGCATATGGCAATTTAATTTGCATACAACGTTCGAAGCCAGCTTCTATCGATGTGTAGCTTACCTCAGTTTGCCCTTCGAAGTCCAAATTGTTGCTCCAGTATCTGGACAGTATTCTCCAACGCACTGCAAAGTTTGTTTCGAAACAAAAATAAAAAGCAATGTTGTTTAACCGTTTAGTGGAAAAAAAATTGGGACATTTCAAACTTTTCCGATCCGGATCCATCGAAATGGTCAAAACAGATAGGTTATTTGGAGTGAAAAGCAAAAAACCAAGGACAGACAGACAGACAAACAAGCGATTGGAACTCCATCTGAGTCGATTGCCAATCAGTGGGGAGGGAATAGCGGTAAACTCATCGGGTCGGTATGGATGATGCAACCTGGTCGTTTGATCGTATGAATCTCTCTCGCTCTCTCGTGAACTGTGTAACAATCAAAAATGGAGCCGCCAATTGAGAAGAAGCCTATAAAGTGATGGGGCTGGTAGATACTTTTCACGGAGACGTTGTGTTATACGAAATTTCAATGATTCGTGTGCAAACCACTACAGGTACATTGGTGAGAAAGTGTTCACCGTTATATTGAGAGAAAAAGGCATCGCAAAGAAACCGGAAAAAAATTTTTTTAAAAAGGACAGTTTCTCTAATTTTAAAGTGGTGTATTGACTGATTAGAACTGACCATCTTTTAAACTTCATTTTCATGCACATTCCTTAGCTGTTCCAGTCAACCATACATACGGACTCGATTTTCGATCCCATCAGTAGTGCATATCATCCGTCCCGTCCGGTATTTGAACTCCGGACCTATCACATGGAAGGCGTGTGTTAACACTGTACCAAACAGCTCATGCCAGGGTTGAACTGAATTACCAATTCACGGTTGTTTGCAGGTGATCAGTTCTAATCAATCAATATCAATTATCCCACACCGTTAAATGTGAGTTCGTGTAATGTCAAGCTGAGGACCAGGTAGGGCACCGTTAGGTTGTAACAAATATTTATACAGGACGGTTTATAACGTAATGCGATATAACTGTGAAATTGGAGTGGTTGATGGCTAGATCATGACAGAGAGGATGCATGGGATTATAAGAATCTTTTGGGGCTATGGATTTACAAAGGGTTCAGTGAACGTCACTTTGGAAGTGAACCGTTTGTGAGAACGTCAAATTAAAAGTTTCAGACGGGTCAGCGTCAAAGCTGAATGAATCATGTATTGGTTATGTTGGTTGCAACGTCAAAGGAGTGGATTTGTTGAGCGATCAGTAAATCCGTTTCCAAGGCTTTCAGTCTGCGAAACTGAAGAGAATTTTCGTCAAACTCCTCATCCCACGTACCAATAGTTAACTACGTACTGAATTCGATTTAGTGAATGGAGAAGACAATATGAAAATAACCCCAGGTCGATCGGACGATGCTGCGCTCAAAAACAAACCGGACTCCGATGAGTTGGCTAAACCAAAGGCCCAAATGCCTCTTCGTGCACTATAATGTGAGTCAGTGTGGGTGCTATCCGCACCCAATCGATATCTAGACAAAGCCGAAGGATAAGGATACGCATTGGTTGACTATGAATGACGGGGATTCTTTGTCCGTGACGCACCTGAAGTCTGAAATGAACTCCCCAAATGTGGATGTGCTCTCACAATTCCCGTGAACTTGTCGTGTATCTGTCAGCTATTCAGGCAACCCTGGGGTCACAAGAACCGACTTGGAGCGACCATCTTTGTCTTAAACTGCGCAGATTCCGAACGGAAAGACGAATGCTTCTTTCTGGCAGGATTTTGGCCTGCGGTGCACGCAATAAGACACAAACTGCGGTCACATCATCGTACAGCCTAATGCAGTGAAGCAAATTCCACCGATCGCTGCCAAATTCATAAGGAGGTCAGCGACAAGGCCTATTTTCAGGAAAGGGAAAAGAAAGTGAACATCTATGGTCCACACACAGTTCAATTGTGCATACAAACTATTTCAAGCATTCTCGTCTGATAAGAAGTGACAGCATGATCGCCACTGCTGTCGGTTTGCTGCCATGACCTTCAGTGTCTCTAACCATGTAGTCTTTTGAACTCCAACCCGGAAGATGGGAGGCGCCTATTCTAGTTAATTGCTCTGTGTGTACTTCTTCGTACCTCGTCTCTATGTCATCTGCTGGCCTTCACGCGGCTTTCTCAAGTCTGTAACAGCTACTGCAAATAAGGCGCGCTGCGGTAGGCGACCGTTAGATATACACCAAATGTTTCCTAACAAACGGAGATCATTGAGCTGAATTCGATGCGCTAGGGAGTCGAAACGGGTCGATTTGTGAGGATGGTGATAAACAGAAGCATTGGAGTTGGTAGGGTCCTGTCGAGATCCGAGTGAGTAAAATAATATAGATAGAATTGGAACCAGTACGCGCTTACGACAGCAGAAAAGAACAGCATTACTCTTCAAATACTGCGTCACAGTAACGGATGCAGTACCACAACAAAATCGGGCATGAGAGAATAGAACAATATAAGCCGGTTGTGAAGCAGTTTTCAAGTCGCTATCACTGTAAATCACGATCGCCAAATAGAAATACGCCAAGCCAATTCGGACCCTATATGGTTTGCCATCCAAAATCCTAGTCACAAAAGTGGGCAGCACGTCCACACGACTATGGAGTATGCTCCGGAACTGTGCATCACAATTAGTGGTCATAAAAAGCAATGCGAACCGAGCAACAGCAGTGCCATAAGGAAAGAAGCGTTCCTGAATTGATGGGAAACTGACCTTCCGGTTCGAACCACTCGGTACTCCTGTCCGGTACCGACTGAACACAAATCCACAATCGTCGAACCGGCCCGTGCAGCATCGGGATTGGAACCAGGTGGCGGGGCGATCGAGCCACCATCAATAACCACATCCAACAAGGGCCAAATAACCCGAAACTCCTGAGAAAGGGTTGCGAACATCAGTTAGATTAGGAAGCGAGTATTAGAGAATGAAGGAAAAATAAGAGAGATTGAAGACTTTGATAAACACTTTTACTCGTTCGGAGGACCGCGACGGTAATCATATAAAGTTTGATTAAACAGCGATTACACAAATGATTCAAGTGACTAGTCTGGTCTATTTGACTTTTGAGGGTCGAAGGAGGTAACAAAATTTTAGATGGTGAGTATTTGGATTAGCCTATTTGGTTTTTCACAAGCATCAGGTACATTCACCATCTAAATTGATTGAGCCATTCGCACAAGGTGGGGCTCGTCGACCGTGCAGCTCAGGGGTAAGGGTTTGAAGTCGAACCCAAAATGTTCGCGGTTCGAGTTCTGACAGGGACACAAAAAGTATGCACTGCTGACGAGTCCCAAACAGGACAAAACAGCTGTCCGGTGCTCTTTTTCGGTATCATAAACATTTCCATCGCATTTAAAGTAACAAGATGTTGTTTACTTATTAGAAAACATTGTGAGCAACGGTCGAAAATGCCGGACAATTGATCGTGGTCCAGGAACGTTCAACTGACATCTGTTTAAGATTAGGAAGCTGGCAAATTGCCCTCCTTGTTTGAGAATATTTTTGGTTTTCCACAAGCCAATTGTTAACAGCCTGTCAAAGTATACGTCCCCCTCTCCCATTAGTGTGTACTGATCCAGAATTTTTTCCCGAGGTTCGGTTGAGAACAGACTCACTTGCTGATAAGATCCCACAAATTCGTCTCCTATTAGAGTGATAAAACCAAAGGAACACCATCATTGAGAACCAATCTTGTTAGATATAAAGAAAAATTCAAAATAATTTCATAAATTCATGAGTCCTTGTACGAAGTTACAAAAACCATAGCTACATCTGCCACGAGTAAAACGTTTAAGGTTTTGTTCACTTGCACCTTTTCAGTGTGTTCAATAGAAGAAACTTTTCACGGAATTACGGAATCATTCGTATAGCTGAAAAAATTACTGGTGATTTGATTTCCCAGATTGTTGGTTTTATCATTTTAAATCCATATCGAGTGCTGGTGGTGGAGCGGTTTAAGTCCCCATCGGTGGCGTACTTTGTCCTCTAGGGTCCGAGGTTCGTACCTGGTCATCGACACCCAGCTTTGGTGGTAAGCAGCTGCGCTGTCCTCCGGCCTTAGGTGGTTTCCCTCTCCAAGTTCCAGGGCTTAGGTTGCCCGTTTTTAGTGAGCGAACAGCAGGTTCTGATGACTAGAGTTGACCATGTTTGCTGTGTGTAAAAAGACACATCAAAAGGATCGACTGATTTGTTATGGGGACGTACAACTTGGAATAAAAAACTACTCAAGGCCCCCAACAGGATAGACATTATTAATCCGGAGCAGCAGCTACACTACGACGTACGTGACAAAAATGTACAAAAACATAAAAAAGGTAAACCCATTAAGAGAATGTCAAAAAGCACAACATATGGTGTTCCACCACGTGAACGCACGAGATTCAAACCAACAATTGCAAGTGGCTCACCTCCACATTCAGAGTAGATGTGTCCCCGCTCAGATTGGCCGAGGTCAGAACCAGTGGATGATCTTTATCCGGATCGCTCGTATTGCAGAAAGCGCCTTCGTGTGACCGAAGAGCGTAGACCAACTGCTGAACGAATCCACAGTCCGGTACTCGGACGCCGACCGAACTCACACCCGGGTTTAGCTCCCGATTGAGCGGATCATTTGAGAGACGTGGTAAAACAACTGTGACCGGTCCGGGGAGTAAAGCAGAAAGTAAGCCACCAGGTAGACCTCGAGTATCACACCAGTGAGAGATGGAGCTAACCTGAAAGAAAAATGAAACAAAAATTTAACTGTGTAGAAACAGAGGCTGATCACTTCTGAATGCCTCACTATGTTCGTCCTCGGCTGGCTCCGTGAATGTAGACAACATGATCACAGAGCTGCATAGGAAACAAGAGACGTCCCCAGTGTCACTAGGCTACCGGACCACCCTTGACTTTCACCAAACCACCATCATTTCAGTTTAGAGAAACGACTGTTTTCCAGCATTTAATTCTCAAGTAGTCACTTGCACACTACTCAGATTACTCAGATATTCACAATTGACGCCAATTGTGAATATCTGAGTAATCTGTGTGTAATTTGTGTCTGCCTGTCTACTGGTAGATCTGGTCTGATTAAACGTTTCCGAACGATTCCAATAAAACAAAAACAGTGTGAACATTTATTGAAAGCGTTGAACAACACAGAAGAGCGTACAAGGTCGTAAACCACTCACGTGGCAAAGGCAAACTGGCTGTGACAAAGTCTTACCCATGATTGGTGCTGATTGCATAACTGTGCGATCTACTTTCTAGCGTATCCTATTTAATCCGAAAGCGGTTCGAGAATGAAGTGCTGAAAAACAAGCGTTTCACCAAACTACATTGAAAAGACTTTGAATCTAGCAACAGAGCGATACTACGGAATGCCCGAAATAAGTGATCCTCAACAAATGCGTGGTCTAACCTCAGACTGGATCAGAGCATTTAGCTGGCTCTACCCAGCTGGAACGCGAAAAGGCTGTAGGTCAGAGATTGGCGGGGCCTTTGAAATTGGCCGCGCGGTCCGTTACATCGTCGGACTCGGAACTACACAATCACTCTTCACCGGATTTTATCTGGGATACACGTCCTTTGTTGTCATAAAAACGTTGTGCAATTATGATCATCCTAAATTCTGTGAAATACTCTGCCGTTTTCATGAAGCAACTTCGAATTTCCGGCCACTGGATTTCACCTTCTTTTGGAAAATCGGTTCATAATAGAGAGAACTTGCGGAAATCTCAAAAATTTCCCAGAAAACATCGATCTGGATGGCAGGTAGCACTACGCAAACGATCAGTTTCAGACATCTGCATTCCATCAGTAATCAGTGGAAATGTGCGCTCCCTGCTTCGTAATATGGCAGAGGTTATAGATCTGACAAGGAGACGTGAATATTCATAGGTTGGAGTCTCAATGCTTCAGGAGAGCTGGCTTCATAATGAAATTGATGATAACGCGGTTAAAATTGACAGTTTTTTCATCTGCCGAGTTGACCGACCCGTTCGGGTTCACAAACGAGGCGGTGGTGTTATCACATACATAAATGACATTTGGTGTAAATCAGGTAAACGAGTCTTTATGTATTCCACAATTTACATCAATAATTCACCGTACAAATGCAGACCTAAACACCTCAGTAACTACATAAATATTATTTTTGGTAACATTTACATTTCTCCTTCTTGTTCCACTGGGCATTTCAATGAGTTCACAGATATTTTCTCCGCCGCTTTACTAA